AAAAGCCATTTATCTAAAAAAGTCACAGACACTTGAGTTGTTGCTGTGACCAACAGATACATTTCCAAGAAAGATGAAAGATGAGAACGGAGAAGCTAAAACAGGAGCCTTTGGGGCTTGAACTCCAAAGACATTTTGTGATCGAATCCATGTGGCCTGAACAGTGCCTTGGTAAATCCCCCCCAAGAGACAACCCTGGTGGTGATGGAGGTTGATGGGAGTAGAATGAACAATGATGGATCTATTGAAACTGCACGAACTAGGTGGCAACAGGAACGTGTGGCTACCAGAGGAAAACACATTTAAAATGACAGCAGCAGGAGGACAGGTTAATAGAGAAGATGTGGTGCAGGGATGTGGTGTAAGATGGATGAGACCAGCTGATGAACAGATGACCTCACAACAGAGGGCTGAAGCCAAAGCAAAAGACAATCCAGACTGAAATTTCACTAAAAAACTGCTCAACAGATTAGACTCAAACGTGGTGTTGACTACATTTAACTAACATCACTCTTTGGCAGTTTATCATTCTCTCAGTATGTTGTATTCCCCCTACTACACTGGGGCAGGGATTTGCCCCATCCCCTCTACTAAGAAGATGGCTTGACGTGGTGGTTGAGTCCTTTTTATCACAATAATCACACATCAGACCTGTAACTGACTTATTGGCATATCATCTTTGATTCAGTGTTGTTTACATTAGTGAGTCTAAACCACAGGGCTGCGGCCCAAATGTGGGCCCCAATTACCAGTGTTGCAACTGTGGGCCACAAAGGCCTCAAGACACAGATACTGTATATGTTAGCCACGATAGCTCAGTTAAAATGCAGCTTTCAACCAAATGGTGGCAGTAATCTATCAGTCAGTGTCATACAGAAAACAAAAAGATAGAAAAGATGCAGTAAAGGAAGTGGAGTAAAGTCAAGTGTTAACACAGTGGTATCTGAGAATTCCATGGCTCCAGGCCTCTTGTCTAGGGAAATAACGAATGAATGTCACTGAAGAAATCACATTTTAAATTCCACAACATGGAATTATTTTTACCTGATTTGTTCATAGGCTGGGCAAGAGTAAAGGGAGGAATTCCAATTTCTGTCAAGGATCAACACCATGGTCAGCATGAGAAATGTTATTTTATTTTCGCTTTGTCCTCTCGTTGAACTAATCTCACCCCGATCCCCAATCTGATTCAGGACCACAAATCAACATGTCAAATAGATCCTTTCAAGGTTGGGAAATTGACTTTTCATTTTTGTAGACTGATTACACCACTATGGTGCTCCATGATATCAGTTCTTGATATCTGACTTGGAGTGCAGGGCGTGCAGTGGATGATTTTATCGATATTTTTGTTACTCCATTTTGGAAAAGCATGTATTTGACCATCGGTTAACTGTGTGAGAAAGAACATTCCACAGAAATAAATAAATATAAAAATAAAAAAGCCATTTATCTAAAAAAGTCACAGACACTTGAGTTGTTGCTGTGACCAACAGATACATTTCCAAGAAAGATGAAAGATGAGAACGGAGAAGCTAAAACAGGAGCCTTTGGGGCTTGAACTCCAAAGACATTTTGTGATCGAATCCATGTGGCCTGAACAGTGGCTTGGTAAATCCCCCCCAAGAGACAACCCTGGTGGTGATGGAGGTTGATGGGAGTAGAATGAACAATGATGGATCTATTGAAACTGCACGAACTAGGTGGCAACAGGAACGTGTGGCTACCAGAGGAAAACACATTTAAAATGACAGCAGCAGGAGGACAGGTTAATAGAGAAGATGTGGTGCAGGGATGTGGTGTAAGATGGATGAGACCAGCTGATGAACAGATGACCTCACAACAGAGGGCTGAAGCCAAAGCAAAAGACAATCCAGACTGAAATTTCACTAAAAAAACTGCTCAACAGATTAGACTCAAACGTGGTGTTGACTACATTTAACTAACATCACTCTTTGGCAGTTTATCATTCTATCAGTATGTTGTATTCCCCCTACTACACTGGGGCAGGGATTTGCCCCATCCCCTCTACTAAGAAGATGGCTTGACGTGGTGGTTGAGTCCTTTGTATCCCAATAATCACACATCAGACCTGTAACTGACTTATTGGCATATAATCTTTGATTCAGTGTTGTTTACATTAGTGAGTCTAAACCACAGGGCTGCGGCCCAAATGTGGGCCCCAATTACCAGTGTTGCAACTGTGGGCCACAAAGGCCTCAAGACACAGATACTGTATATGTTAGCCACGATAGCTCAGTTAAAATGCAGCTTTCAACCAAATGGTGGCAGTAATCTATCAGTCAGTTCTTTAATGAGCTCCAATATACAAAAAAGACTGTTTTCTTCTCTACGCTAGCTTTAGCTAAAGGTATGGGGAGATACAAAATCCTGACTTCAGCAAAAAAACAAAATGGAATTGGTTTATTATTGAATATAAATCAAACCGTGAGTGAGGTCAATTAAATCTATACAGTGTTATATTTATTGGGCCCCGGGCCACTTGACCTGGTCTACACCATCATGTGATGTGTGATGGAATTGGCAGTTTCTCTTTCTTTCCTTAAACTCACTTGACTCAGTCGGATTGTCGTCCTCACTTTGAGGACGACAATCCTCAAAGTTTTGGTCAAACGAATGTTGAGTTTGCAGAGAATCCACTCTTGTTGCCATTCATGTAGTAATCTGTTTCTGCTGACTGCAGCATCAGTATACACCATAGAAATACACCAACCTGCTTAGCCTATAGAGCTTTTCTTCTCCAATTCCTGCCCACTTTATTTATATCATTCTACAACTGCAACAACTGCAGTCGAACTAACAAGGCTGGGCTGATTCTGGACAAACACAGCAAGGATTTAAATTTCTTTTTTCTTCCAAAGACAATATTTTTGTCACATTTTCAATCTGATGTTTCTCTGTGCACTAATCCTAGATTAGACATTCTCGTCGAACAGGCCAAGCAATTGTTAACAAGGTAAAATCCCTGTGACTGTTAATGGCATTGTCCCTTTTGTTGTTTTTTGTTTTTGTTTTTTTTAAATCTGAGCAGCATTGGCTAATTGGACCTTGCTGTAAACGGACCAGTTTTTAGTATGCTTCTGTGCTCCACTTGTCTCTAGGTGATGGTGAGCATGTGTCTCTGGCCACATTTGTAAGAGTAAGAGTTCTTCAGATCACCAGCTGCAGGCACAACCTTTGCTCTCTCGCTGCTTAACCTAATCAATTACAGTTCAGAACGGGAGTCAAGAAAGAGGAAAGACAGGGGTCTTGTGACCTTGTCAGAAGCCGGAGGAGATGTGAATAATTCACTTTGAGCCCCATAAAGATGGTTTCCATGGCAGGAGGACAGGAGTAAAGGTGGCTCGTTGACTAGGGAAGAAGGAACAACAATAGCATGTGAAGTATTAAGGTTATAAATACAACCACGACTCTGAATCCTGTCACCAATGTCAATTACCTGAGGCTTTCACTAAAGCTGTCATGGACATGCAGTAGGAAGGTCAAAGAGACGAGGAGAATACAGTGTTACATGGGAGGAGAATGACTACAGTCCTGGCTGCCCTGCCACTCTAACCATCCGTAATGTTAACACAAGAGGCAGGATTAACTTATGTTGATAATTGAGAGCAAATGTCAAAGTAGAGGTCAGGGGTTCAATTCCGGCCAGTCAGGAAGTCACTCTACAGCAGCAGACCCCAACCTTTTTTGTTCCAAGGATCAGGTCAGCCAGTACCATGGACAGGTAAAGCCACACTGGTCGTTGAGAATTACACTGGAAATTGCCTGATTATCTTTAAATAAAGAAAGTAAATGGAAATCTGGAAAATTGTTAATTCTTTCACTGCAGCCCATGTCCAAATGACCTAAGGACTGGTAGCCGTCCACGGACCAGGGGTTGGGGACCTCTTCTCTACAGTATATGACAATGTTGTTTTATGGTTGAGCCAGTATTTAATATGGTTGTTTGTGGACAAAAAACACAGTCGGTGTGAAAACATGATCAAAATCACGTGTGAGGGTTGTCCCAAATTTAAAAAAAGAAAAGTGATTTGTATGTATTTTAATGATTCTATTTCCTATTATTATATCCTGCAGAAGCCTTGTTTACACACAAGAGTGAGTTTCCCTGCGTCACCTTCCAGTTTGGTTACATTTGAGGTGTAATGACTCTTGACATCGCTTCATAAGTCAGAACAAATTAAATGTTGCCGTCTGATTCCCTGTGGATATTTTGAAAACTACTATTAGGTTTAGTAGGAGGACACCAACAAAAGACATCAGTGTCAGCTGTCAGTAGACAAAATAAATATTTACACATAGTTATTGACAAGTTTAGTGTTTTTTTTTTTCTATTTTATTTGAAATATTTTTGACTTTGGTGCTAAAGGTAAGCTTTCAGGCCACAGTATCATCCTGATCATCCCTCTTCACCCAGGTGTAATAATATTCTGTTTTAAGTGCCTGTTTAGAAATAGATTTGTTTGTACTTCACACTGTAAATCTTTTGGAATTGTTGGGCTGAAGAGTGTTTTCAGCAGCTTGTCTCTGCTTGAGTTCTATCGTGGACTGTTTAAAGCAGCTTATTACCCTAGTGTAGCCCGGGGTGGAAACAGCGTTAAGTTGCTTCGTGCTCCATCTCTTGATGTATGGTTTTATATATATAATATATAATCAGGCCCCAGCGTTTTTACTGAGCAGTGTAATAAAAAAAAAATCATACAATACTGCACTGAAAATACAAAATACTTTATTATCATATCAGATTCTGAGGTGCCTGAACAGAAGAGCTCTGTAAAGTCTCACATTTGGGAGGCGAAACCACCAAACACACAACAACAGAGTTTGTGTATAGTAATACATTACAATTAACAGTACAATGTCCATTCAGAAGGAATTCAGTTTACCTTCAAAACATGCAAAACAAAATCAGTAGTTTGGTTTTTTATAAAATAGCTTTTTAAAAGACGTATATTCATATTCAGATAAAGGAAGTAAATATTGAAGTTGAGCACACAAATGAGGCTTCATGTACATTGTGTGTATTAGCTTGACTAGACATGCCTGCAGTTCATAAATAAAAGTGCTAAATGAGAGGTATCTATTTTACCATGCACAGTGTGGCTTTTTATCTTATTTTGCTTTGGTTTTATTTTCTATTTTGTCTTTTATTTTCTGCTCTGGTTTCCTGTCTTCCTGACTCCGCCTCCATCCTTAGTGATTGCCTAACCTTCCTCACCTGTGTCCTGATACTTCTTCCCAGTCTCTGCCACTTTACTTTGTCTCTCCTCTGATAAGAGGAGCAGAACTCTCAAAGCTTTTAACTTGGTTCTAAGTTGTTGTTTTTTTTACCTTACACAGTTTGCAGGAACTGATGTTAGGTTAATGTTTCCCTGTCTCACCATCGTTATTGAAGTTCTGTTTCAGCGTTGGTTTTGAAGAGCTGCTCTTGAAGTCCACAATAACAGGTAGATGTGACTTTATTTTAATGTTTTTGGCCATATGTAGGCATATGCTTCTAACTTAACTAGTTTTTACATCAAAAAGATGAAAGTTTATTTCTGGAAATGCTGAAAAATTGGGTGGTTTTTCTAAAAAATATTTAGAATATGTTTCAAAATTTAAGTGAATCTTCAAAAGGGCTCCCGACATTTTATCTAACATAAATCCTACATATTCTATGTGAAATGCTTTAAAGAGTGTTCGCCTGTAATTTTCTGGTTGGAACCAATGATTCAGAAAACTTGAAAACTTGAAAAGTTGCAGTGGCTGTAGATTCAAAAGAGCAAGCCAAGCATTGCACTCATGAGGGGATAAAAGGAATCCAGGCATGAATCCATCTTCCTGTATCTGTGGTCAGCTCACCTGCAGTTTGTAAGGCCTCCACAATGATCCCAGCATCGGTCGATGCTAGCTTGTTTGTTTCTCAAACATCAGTCATGATCACCTTCTAATGACTTATTCATTAACTCCTGCAAAACACACATCTTGATGATGGGACTGGAAGGAGCATGTTAGGAGGCACACATTAGCCGAGTCTGCAGTCAGCATTCTGTGGAATTAAAGCCACTATTAATCAACTTTAGCTGAGCTGGAACTGATCCCAGACGCATGGTTCTGGAGCAGAAGACTGACAAATGTGCCCAGAGAGTGTGTGGGTGTGTGTGTGTGTACGCGTGTGGGGGGAGTGTGTGTGTGTGTGTGTCAGCACGGTGGAGTGGCATTGTGTGAAATGGAGGAGGAGGTGGTGAGAAGGCAAATCAAATACCAATGATGTCTCATGGACCAGACTCAAAACAATGAGAGCATCAAGAAAATCAATGCCTGATGTAAAACTATCACAGACAGAGAGGAAGAGAGAGAGAGAGGGAGAGAGGCTGAGGGTTTGTTTTTAATTAATCTCTAATGTTCCTCCACATCCTCAACAATATAGATTCTAATACAGATGAAGCAGAAGTCCAACAGCGCGTCTCAACTGTACGCCGAATGTAAAGTGACTGGCGCCATAGGTAGAGTCACGCTTCACAATTTGTGGGTTTTTCTTTTTTAACAATGATCAAGCGGGGATTCAAAGTGTAGCTCTAGGATACAGAATGCTTACCTCGGCCCCCCTGCGGGGACCAGAAGACAGCGAGCACGCAGCTGACAGACACTGCTGCCGTCCTGTGAAATTGCGCCTTGGATGGCTTCAGCCTGCCATAGGAGGTCGTAGCCCCGATTCTCTGGTGGTCCCATCAATTCAGCCACGGCGGTGCTGCAAGCCTTTAATTATCAGCTTGTCTCGGTGTTTGTTCTGTGACTTGCTGTGCCCTTTAGAGTGCAAATACCCCTTTGTTCCAAATGTCGTTTCATCTGTGGCCTGGATGTTTTCATCTTTTTTATTTTACATGGTCAACCAGGATGTACGCTGGAGTTCATGTTTTGTTTTGTTTTTTTTGGTGTACAAAACAGATGAAGGCTGACTGTCCTCAGTTTATCAGGTTCTCTGATAATAGTGTTTAATATAAGATCAAAACACTCTCTGATTAAACCGTGGATTGTCTTATAGCAGTGTTTTCCAACCATGGGGTCATGACCCTTTGTAGGATTGCCTGGAATTCGAATAGAGTTGTCTGAAATGTGCTGTAATTTAACAATAAATATATAATACACATATGTAATAAAATATATAATAAATATACTTACTAAATATAAGCTAAATATGTATAAAATAAAACTCTAGGAATATATAGTATTTGTTATGGATATATTGCATGTGATGTCAATGGGGTCAAAATGCGTGGCTGCATTGTAATAATAAAAACAGATCCATTGGGTTTTTTTCTAAATAATGTAAGAAAAAACTTTTAGGATTTTCAGGATATTTTAAGACAAGTGAATTCCAAAATGTTATGTTGGTTTTGGGCATTCCAAAAATAGCCAATCACCATCAGGTGTGTTTTTGGACACCTCTTTTTATCAATTATAATGGGATATTGCCACAGAGGTGGAGCAACTGTCCCGTCTCTCATTAGTGTCTCTTAAGTGTGATGTGACACAACTAGGGATTCATCATTATAGGTATTAGGATAATGGGTGATCACGTTTGTTTCTAGTGGCTGTACTTATTGTTCTGGGGGCTTGTGGAGCCCCCATGAGACAGTGGAGCCAGATGGAATTGAGGTGTTGTCACTACCGAGTGCACAGGTAATGAATTACTCCAGGACAAATGGGCAGCCTCATGGGAAGGGAAGAAAGTGGTGACAGAGGTGGATGGCAGCCCACTGCCCTCCCCCACAGCGCCCCCTGCTATCTCTTCATCTTCCCATCAGCTGCATTCCAGGGGGTATTTACAGATTATTTCTAAATTGACACAAATTCAGTTGATTGCAGGGGGGTGTAAAAGACGTGATGAGTGAACAGGTCTCACAACACTAAAGGGATATTACAGAGCTTTCCAACAAAATTTGGTTTTTTCCCAATTAGGGTTTTTGAGTCACAACCTGTTTTTTCTATGATTGGTAGTAATGGTATTGTCCTTAGTTGTGACCATTGGTGGGTGATATGTTTAAGTTGTGGTAATTATGGGCAGAACTTCCAATCACAGACAAATGGATTCAGGGGTAGGTTTTTCCAACCACTGCAGACTGTATCCAAGTGACTATCTGTGCACTGGGTGATTCTGATGGGGCCGATTTGAGATACAAGTGTTCTGCTGGCACAAGCACTGACAAATGCATTATGTGGTTCTGCAGGGAGACGGGGAACAATCTCACTTACTCTGCAGGAGGATCTGCCGGTCGCTGGGGCTGCACCGATGACTCAGACAACACTCATTGAGCGTGAAGAAGCTCGAGCATGAGGACTGCTGTGGGCCGTCACCAAACACGTGTAAGACTCACTACTGGAAGTCTTTTCAGCCTAATATATATTTGGAATCCACAATCTGAAATAGAAACGTTGTCACTGTTTTTAATTGTTACAATCCCCTTCTACATCAGCTTTACGAGGGGTGACACTGGCGAAGAGGTGTAAACAAAATTCATCGCTGTTTCATTTTTTATATTTTATTGCAGTTTTATTTATACATACTTAACCTTGATATAGCTGGGAATTTTAATTATCAGCTAAGCTTGTCCTCGCAGTTTATTTTTTTAATTTATTCTATATGGCAGAGAAACAATCAGGCAGTAAAGGTAGTTCCACTTATCTCCTACAAATGTAAAATATCAGTAAAACGCCCATATCATCCCTTTTTTTTTTTTTTTTACTAGAAAGAAAACCATTGATTTATAATTAGGAAAGATACCGTAAAAAGTCCTTGAAAGAAGCTATACACTTGAGGAAAGGGTGACCCATCAGTTCTTCATTATTCACTATTGATGTTTTAATTAACGAGTATCAGCCAATCCAGAAACGGTGATAAATGTTTGTACCTGATATCTCCAAAGTAATGAATTTATTTAGAATGCATTAAAAAAAAATCAAGTAATTAACACCAGAAAGTGGTGTGAAATGAAATCTAAGACTTGTTCAATTGTTATGAAAAATCTAAGAAAATTCGTGTACATCATTTTATTCACATGAGCAGAGTGAGGAAAAAGATATGTGTGGTGTTGAAGCACATGCAGACATTTTTTTTCTTTATCTTTACAAAACCTGTTCAGTGTGGGCTCAAAGGCAGAATGCCAACAAATTACTAGAAAACAGATTTAATGATTTGTACTGCAGGGGGAGGAGACACCAGCCGTGATGGTCTCAAGTCTAAAATCATCATGATAAAGCACACGAGTCACAAACGGGGTATATGCTAACACTGGGGGTAAAAAAAAAACAAAACAAAAAAAAAAACTCTTGGTTCGTTTACCTAGGAAAAGGAAAGACAACCTGGCAGAGAGGAAGGAATCAGCAGATAGATCCTGGAATCCGTGGGGAGACACAAAAAGAACCAAAAACTAAAAGATAAAAAAATAACATTGACTACAGGTTGCTGGATGTGATAAAAAAAATCTAAACTAAACAAAAGGTCAGCCAAAAGTGTTAAGTCATCACTAGGACATGTAGAGATAAAACCCTTGATAGATGATACATGCCATAGACAAAAACTGTTAACAGTCAACCTGCTATAACTTGTTTTCAATGTTTTTATCATCCATTCCAGTTAAGTCTCTTAATGAAGACATTAATATTTCCCCTTGCAATTTTACTACTGAAAATATCATCAGCGTACAAACATTATACAATTTGCTTTTATTTTGAAAAGGTTTCAGTGACTTCCTCCAACCTTCCCTGTCCTGCTATAATGTTCTTTAGAACCTGTCAGCTCCACGATGCAGATATACCTGGTATAAAAAGTGTTGATTCAAACAAAACCCTAGCACATAAAGATGAAGATGCGTTTTTTGACTGTATTTCTCTGCACTTCTCTGCTCTGCTCCAGCAGCTGCTAGTACAAGCAGTAATGAACAAAACCGGTGTACCAACTAAATTAGAATTTACCACCTCTATCTCGTCAGCATCTGCCGACCAATAAATAAAAATTGCACAAATTTGCTCCGCATGTTAATGTACATTCCCATCTGTGGAGGTAGAGCCGTGAAACCCAGAAAACGTGAAGATTGCAGAGCGTCCATAGTGAGGTGTGAGAGCTGGACTCAGAAATATACATTTAAAGATAATTAAACATATTTAATTAAACATATTTTAAATAAACAGTAATTGACTTTTTCTCTGTGTATGAAGCAGAACCTGCTCAGCAGTGTGAGCAATGGCGAAGTGAAATAAAGAAAAAAAACAAGTCACGACCAAGAGTTTAATGGAGATGGATTCAGATGTGTTGTTCATGTATAGTACTGTGTGAGCTCCGTGGCCTCTAGCTGGTAAATTAGGATTCAGTCAACTAAAACATCAGGCTGCACTACACAAACTGTAGGCATCCAACTCCCCCTCCCATGTTGTTAAATGTGTGAAAGTTCTTTCTTCAACATCGTGTGGAGGTAGACTGAAACATTATGTGAAAGTTCTGCCAGGAAACGATGCTGATCAGTCCGTTCACTCCGTTTGCTACACATTAACTGGATGGTCAGATGCCTGCCAGGTTTGTTGTTAGCATTTTCTTTTGTCTTTATAGCAGACAGGCGTGTTTTTTTTAAAGGCTATATAAAGAATAGTTTACCACCAAGACAGCTTGTTTTTTTTTTTCCTGACAGCGTCTGTCATTGGCACACCAATTATTTTTGCTTGGCTATACATCACTGACAAAAAACAACAAGTTGGCTGGAAATACTGATGACTGGTAAAATATGTTTAAGTAAAAATAAATAAATTAGACCAGATACCACTGCAGTACTACTGTACCACCACTACTACTACAGACAGAAAAAGACAACTGAACTATTTACTCAATCAGTTACAATACGATAAATAATTAATTTTAATATCATGTATGATTTTACCAGGTTAAACATTTTAGTTTTAAAGTGATTCAACCTGTACAAGAAAACATGTCACAGTGTAAAGTACAGCCTGAAAGTTGATAAAGTTCTTCGTTCAGCAGCACATCTCATGTCAGCCTGCAGCTCCTTGACATCAGGCTCTAATTGTGTTTATTATTTTTTTTTATAACCTCCTTCCTGAAAGAGCAGCCTCTCTAATTACATATGACTGCTGTCACCTCACCGCTGACCACAGGTTGTCATTTTCTGTTTAGGTTGTTGACAATTTAAGTTCAGCCTCAGTGGTAGACAAACGACAATGAGCATTACACCCTTCCTTTTCATTAGACGTCTATGTTGAACTTATGGACCAGACGAAATGAATGTTTGTCTTGGGTTACCAGTGGTTGTGCAACTGGGAATTTAGAGGCGTAACCTCTTCCCAACGTGTGTCAGTTTTTCAAGGATTTGTCTCAATGACTTGACATGACTCAGTCATAACAGTCGGACTGGGCAGTAAGACAGATACTAAGACTTCTTCATTATTAAAGACTGTGAGTGCAGGTGGTTTTTAAATCACTTGTGGTCCATAGGTAGCCTGCTGTGCACATCCTACTGCTGTGAATCTGTCCTGTTGGCAATTCGTCTTCAATCAATGAGGCAAAATCATCAATGAATTACAAAGAAATAAGAGGATACAAATAAGGAAACACTATAAATACTTACATTAATTGGAAGATACCTGCGGGCGAATAGTGATAGAAACTGAGTCCTTCTCCTCCATGCCATCACGTTTTTGTTTTTGCCCTCTCTCATGTGCATATGCCCAGATGTTTTTAGTCAGCTCGACTGAGGATTAAAAAAAAAAACACATTTTATTGCACATGGGTCGGGGGTCTATACTTTCTGTCAAGGAATGATTAATAACCTTGGCTGACCTTTAGGGATCTACATTTGCATAAATTAGCATATACTAAAAATGGCATCACATCCCTTCCCAGTTTCTTACAAGGCACTTTCTCACGATTGCAATGCCACACCGGTCCCAATGAATAGCCACAGTGAACGTACAGAATGCATGCCTTTTCTCAAAATAACAACATCCTACTTTATATGAGTTGAGCTGACAGAGAACCGTCTAAAACTTTAGGAAGTTTGGCAGCAAACTGAGCAGGGCTGACACACACATGCACACCTTGTAAACTTAAGATGACTGCAAATAAAAGTTAAATGTGAGAAAAATTTAAACATAAAAAAAAAATTCAAAGTGACAAATAGAGTTCCTCTGCTCTTGTTACATCCTAGGACACTGACTGCTACACTATACTGATTTATGAATTAAAAAAGAAAATCTGAGCCAATATTTTCAGATTTAAGACTAAGATTTTAAACATAATGGACAGGCTGGAGTTTGCGATTATAGGACACAGCAATCCTGGTTGCCTGGTTCGCTCATTTATATGATTGCCTTTATTTACAGCAGTAAGCAGAGACCTGAGATCGTGTTGCTGTTGCCTGGTTCGCTCATTTATATGATTAGCTTCGCTGAGATGTGTCTTGGGCAGTCTTCCAGGTTTAGCTATAATCTAACAACACATTCTGTCTTTACATCTGGTACATGGCACTAGTCCAGGTTGCAATGCTGGTAAAGCAAACGCCACCAACAGCATGGACATTACAATTATGTCAACTTATAAATAAGACCCATATTTCTTTGCCATAATTCTGTATTTAAATGTTCAGATAATGAGATATAAGCGTGCATTGAATTTGAATTTAAACCATGTAGCCAATGGTCTCCAGACAATATCAGTGCCATGACGAGCTGTTGTGAAAAGGACCTTTAAAACGTTGCCTTCCACTAGATGCCATCTAAAAGCTGATAAGAGCTACATGCATTGCGGCGGATCAATCGTGCAACAGGAAGAGCACTCAGCCATGGGTACTGTTTAATTAATGATGGGGAATAGAGATAGGCTGTTAGCTCCATATTGTCAGTCAAACACTCAACAGCAGAGGGTGGCAATATGAGCTATGCAACCGATATGTGAAACACAAGGAACTAATCTATACACCCAAGTCGAGAACCATTAGTGGTCTGTTAGGGAGGCTTTGGTGCTCCTCCATGGTCAAGAGTATGACACCAACTGATTCATAATGAATAATGTATTTATTTGATTCTCCTAACTCCTGTTGTTTTTTTTTTCTTTTTAATTTAGACAAGAAATGTATTTCTTAAAATGTTCTTTCCAGCCATTGAGCTCTTGAGAAATTCTGCAATTTAAAGCACATACCAAAAATACAATAAAAGGAAGAAAAAAAAAGGCTCAAGCACAAACCAAAATCTTTCCATGAAAGGATGTCAGTCACTCTGTGAAGCCCATTAAGGTAGAAAAGAGGGCCATTGACTGAAAAACACCGTGTTGGAAAAGTTCAAAGTTATTAAAAGAAAAACTCAATCATCTAACAATGTTCCACTCAGGTGTGAACTGTGGACTTTTAATGTTGAATATGAATAAAACCGCACTACACTCTTAACGCCCTCTCACAAGTGGGAATGCAATTTACTTAATATAAAGCATAAAGTACTACCAAAACATGATAGCTTTGTACAGTAATATACAGACAAGAAAACATTGAAAAAGGTTTTCTTTTATTAGCAAAAGGGAATTAAGAGGTTTTATGTTTAGAAACAAAAAAATCAATCGACAGTAAATATTTTTAGACATAATTTTAGACATTTCAGACATAAACAAATTGGTATCCAATGTCTATACTGAACTGGTTTCTTAGTTTTGACTTTACTTTCTGGCTGAGTGACTCATGGTTTGTGTGCAAAGACAACAGTTTTAATTCCCAGTCAACTTCATGACACCTTTGAACAAAACAGATGTACGACTCCCTCTTTGTATGTGATTTGTGTAGTTATTTCTTAAAATAGTCTATACAGCGATTCATTACACTTGAATGGCGGCTGTTGATGTCAAACTGCCTGAAGGCTTGGGATTCACGCACATTAATCAGTGGTTCTGGAATTTACGTACAGCTGTTGAGTTTATACATGTTGTGGTAGTCTATTACTGAGGCTAAATGATTTATATATTCTAGTCGTGTAACAGTGACTCATTTCCTTCTTTTCTGTACGCATTTTTGTTTATTAATCGTTGATCAAATTAATTCGCAGACTTGGAATTATGTCTAAATGACTGGGACTAAAATAAGCCTCTGTTCGGTTTTATTTAATAAAGACTCAAATTAACTCAAAATCTGTAGATTCTTTTTAATTATAGCTATTTCATTATTTGAGAAAGTAAACCAATTAAGGAATGAGCAAACTCATTCAAATAGGTGCACAGTATTATTATTTAACAATATATTTATAAACGTAATTGCATCATAGAATTTCTTTTTTGTTGGTTTGTTTTCTTCGACAGCCTCGTGTGATGCCACTCCTCACAACAAACCAGGGGCCACCTTCTTCCTGTCTCTCCACTCAGCATCAGCATCAGCAGCTACAGGAGCAGGAGCAGCAGTCAGAGGGAGAGAGAGAGAGAGGATGCTGCAGACACAACCTCAGCCGGCTGCTGCCGTGGAGGGAGGCTGAGTGACTGAGAGGAGAGCAGAGGAGACTCAGACGAACCACAGCAGCATCATCATCCAAGCTCCGCAAAGTGGACGAAACAGCTTCGAAGCTTGACATCTGGAGCCACAGTAAAATACATATTTTTTTTAATATTGTTTATTTTTAATTTTTTGAGCTTAAGGATGTACAGAGTATGCGCTGGCTAACCAGGTAGAGCGGCAGAGACTTCGTCGGATTTTCATCGCACTGCTGCCGCTGAGTCCTGCGCGTCGGCAGGCAGAGACTGAGCCACCCGGGGCGGCCACGGTACGGATCCACTACACACACACACACACACGCACACGCACGCACGCACACCAACTGGTAGAGGAGAAAGTGATACTTTGTCTGATATTCCCTTGAGTGATCTGGGTCACTTCACGCCTTCCTGTCGTGCGTTTATTGTGGCTACAGTTACCCGAGCAAACAGCTGTGATGATGGGTTGCGCATTGTGGGGAAAACTGTTTAAAACAACACGTTTGATAGACGAAGCGCGTGTGCGTGCGAGCCGCTGCCTGTGATTTCCCTCGAGTTTAATTTAACTGAAAGTCATTCATAAACACAAACTTCAGCCTAGGACTCCATCATCTTCTCCATGACCAAAAACCCACAGAGAATAAAGTGCGACGTGAAACGATGCTGATGTACAGTAGGGCGGAGGGTCATTCATAAATAATCATGTTTATTACTCTGTCTTTTTTTGTGGGTAAACATCATTATCATCAATTATCATCTCCATTTTTGCATCTAGTGATTAAATCCGTACATTTTATTACAGAAAAGTTCATTTTCACTTGGAAAAAAAAAAAGACCCATAGAGTCACTTAATCTCTGGGCTGAGCCTGGATTTCTAGAAGTTCCGGTGACAAAACATATGCAAAGGTATAGACGATGGCCTTCTCCATATGTTTGCTGTAATAACAGTAGGGGCCATGCAGTTTTTACAGTGTAAGTTTTTTTTTTTTTCATTTGTTTCATTTGTTTTTCAGTAATGTTCAACTGGCAGTTGTTTATGTATAAAAGGGTGTGATTGCAGTGATAAGGCGTATGTGAAGGGCACCTTTCTGTGTCTTCTGGGAAGATTACAGTTCATGATGCTGATGTCTCTGCATTCAGGTAAACGGTTGGGATGGAAAAACTGTGTGGAAGCGGAAACAAATGTGTGTGTGTGGGTAATATCACTATTTGCCTGTGTAGGTGGGAACAGTGTCAGTGTAAAGATTAGTGAGTTGACCAGAGGAGACAGAGTTCAGTCGCAGTTCATGATGCCTGTGTCTCTGTTTTCAAGTGTTATATAAACTTAAAAAAAAAAAAAAAAACCAAGTGTTATATAAACTTAAAAACACAACACTCCATGCATGCCTGGAAGCCTTCTCTGTCCAAGTGTTCACCATAACTTCTTCCCATTTTGGGACAAAATTAAGCACATAGTTGATTAAGCTGTTAAAAACGTCAAGAAGCCGTAAGCTGGCAAAATGTTTCTACTTTTGTTCCCAAATTAAAGATGTCCTACAGGGAAATCTAACCCTCCCTTTTAACAATGCGAACAAACCAAGCACTTTGAAAATCACGCTAAATTGGGTTTGAGGTCTCGCTGCCTTTGATAAAGAGCTTAAAGGGGATCTATGGGAATATTTTGGGAACGATGAAGAGCTTTCCCTGCAAGGGCAGTGGCCCAGTCCTCTTTTTTGATTTATTTTTCATATAAGAAGTGTATCAGAGAGCAGGAGTCGGACCCAAACTGAACAATTGATTCTGAAGGAATCGTATAATCAGAGATGCATGCAAATTTTCCTGACTTAATATTGTAGCTCAGCTGTGGTTGCATGTTTACTATGATTTCATCATGCTGGTGACAGTCGAGGAGCCGCACATACACACATACACACATACGCACACACTCTCTCTCTGGTTGAGCTCATTGATCTGGTTTATTCAGGGAGACAGTAGAGGCTGTTATTAAAGTGTTACTCAATCAGGAGAATTTTACCCTTACTTTAAGTCTGTGAAATGTGCCTTTTACTGATGGTGACTCGGTATCAGGTGCAAACTCAAAAAATCTTGTCAGTGGTCAGTTCACATTCCCCTGTAGATTCACCAAAAAACATTATACTACTTAAAGTTAACCTTCATTCAAAGTACCTGCTCTGAGTATGAAATTACATTTTTCAGGATTTCCATAAATTTAATCTAGAACTTAGACATCCTTCTAAATAAACATAGACGTCTGTGTTATTTGAATACAGGGTCTGTTGATCTAGTGATAGATGATGGCTTTAATTGTGATTTTTATTTATTTATTTATTTGTAGTGGAGCTAAGTAATGAGTCATTTTTCTGGCAGGAGCTGAAATCGTCTCCAAAGAGAGAAATATCTTGGCCTTCATTTTGTGAATGATGTGTATTTGTGTGAGGCACGCTGCAGGTCACGGATCAGTTGGAGCAAAGTTGTCTACTCGGTTCTTTTTTTTCCTGTACTTCAAGCAAAATTTCATTCATCTTCTTTCAGGACTTTGAAGTAAACCGTCCAACTCGTAAATTGCTTTATTACACATAGGTTGCCCCACGTGTTCTGTATTGTCTGCAGCATGTGACCAATCGATATTCAATCCTGTTATGTTCTTAAGAATGTAGCGCTGGTTCAGCAAAAACTGTTTGCCCTTTTGTTTTTCTGTACATGTGGCTGACTGGACCTGTGTTTAACCTGGTGACCAATCTTGGAATAAACACAGGTGCGGATTGTTTAACTCCTTCAGCATATGATAACTTTAAAAATACTCAATGCATCTTAACCAGCCAAAGAGGCAAAATATTTTTTAGTCCTTCCGGGTTGGATCGCTGACCAAGTTAAAAGTGGAAAAAGAGACAAATATTCATGGGCTGTAGACTGTTTTAGGGAGGCACAGGCAAACTACGGCTCGGGGACCAGATACAGCCCGTTAGCCTTTTTGAGCTGATTTTACTCTCTAGTATTGCTCTTCAGAATCTTGCCTCATCTGACCCCAGCCATACATTCATACTGAGTCACATACTAAGCATATGCAAGTGTTCTAATGTTTTTCCTTATCTTCACCGACGTCTTCACATTTCTACTTTTCTTTAGAATGTAACCTGGTAAGAATTTTCTAGAGTCTTTTTAATATATATAAGATTTGTTTCATGTACACATAGTGTGTGGGGATAAAAGCAAACCTTACACTAATGGCTGTGTGTCAAGGACAGTCTAATAAAAGGAGTCCACACTAAGCGTTACTGAATAGATGCTCGCTGTGCAGTAAACCCTGTTCAGAGGCATTCAAACCTTGGTAATGGGGTAGTTTTGTATCCATATGTTTCAAAAGATAACACAGCCTGTAATTAATGTGCCTTTTTTTAACAGCAATGTAATTGAAGCCTCAAATCTTGATTATTCCATGCATTCAGAGTCAAATAACACAAAGAGAGGTCACAAAGACTTGCTTGGCTTACCATTTATATTGGCTTAGACACTGAATGACTAAAGATAATAATTCAAGGTTGGGGTAATGTAATGTATTGTCTTTGTTTGCTAGAACTGGTAATCCGTAATAAGTTAGTAGCCACAGAATACCTGTCAAAGGACAAGATGGACGCTCACACACAGTCAAGAGCAGACCACTTAAAAAAGTGCAGATTACGTAGTATTTAAGATATTTTAGAAGTTCCATGATGAATTTATTAGGGATTTCTGTATTTAAACTGGTACAGAAAAAATACTAGTATTTTCATTTGTGTGTGACCCATTGTGTAATAATATTGAAGATATGTCTGTTTAAAAAAGTCTTCAAAGTGACACCGTCATCATCAATATAGAAATGATCTTAGAAAAAGTAAATAACGTAAATGTTCTGTATAGATACAGTAACATGGCAGCTGAACAGAAAGTGAGCAGAGGTTTTACACCAGTAATGCACTTCATTTTGTATGTAAGTGTTGTTGGTTGGTCATTATTGGTTAAATATCTCGACAAACTCTCTACTTCTGTGCTGGAGACTGTAACACATGCAGGGACATGGTCCATTTTCAGGTTTTTATTGAATTGCTCACATAGTAACGGAACAAATTTTAGAGTCAGCCTTGCTCTTGTCTTTGTCCACTGTGTTAAAATACCTCCAAACTGACGACGTTCTTGACCTACTAAAATAAACTACCCTCCAGGGCAATGAGACACTGCAGTGAGAAAACATACTGTAACACAGGCTAACCAGCATGCAGCTAGATAGAGTTTTAGCACATCATATGAGTAAATATGAGTATTTCAATAAAGTTTTGGTCAGTATTAGAGCAAGTACAGTTCGTCACCTGTTGTCAATAAATGAAAAAATGAATTCCTTTTAGTTTTTGCTTTTGCTTTTCTGATCAGGAGTATCCCAAAATAAACGAGCAGTCAAGTTACTGCGAGAACGGCAAAGGCTTTCGTGTTATTTCTGTTGGTCCGAGAGTGTCTGTTTAGCTTCCCTGCTAACAGCAAACGACAGTTCAGCTTTTCATTTAGAGCCTTCTAAAGGCCAAAGAAGTGCTTTGGAGTACGTAAGCAGAATGCACAGATACAGCAGGATTGATTTTTATTATAAGGCACTAAACAGTGATAGAGCAGTGCATTGGAGGTTCTGTTGAATTCCCAAACACGTAATATGATTCAGTTTAAGTTGTTGGGACTTAAATAACAGGTTTGAGGCCTTTTTTTTTTGTTTTTATGAATAATACAAGGAGCTAACAAACATGTGACTTTTTTCACTTAACATTAATGCAAGGTTACTTATACCCTCATTACATGTTAATCATTTATTTGTCTGCAATACATGCCTAAATGATTGTGTCTCCGCAGAGAGGCAGGTGTGAGATGAAATGCTAATTAGTGTCAGGACTATGTCTTCAAGTTGCAGCTGTCTCATCCATATGAATAAAGGGATTATTGATGTGGTCCAGGAGATATACATTCAGAGTACAGCTAATTGAAAATGACAACTTCAGCAAAGGCAAGCCCCTGGGACGACACTGCATGACGGCAGTGAGGAAGAGGAGGCTTGGTTTAGAAACTCTCTGAGCAAAAAAGAAAAAAAAAAACACCCAGGGGAGACGTACTTTCACTGTCATCTGCAAATAACAAAGTGAGGATACATTCCTATGTCCCTGAACACTACTCAGGCTTCATAATAGTGTACTATTGTAGAGCTACTGCAGCATCAAAAACATGAAGTAAAGCCAGGAGTGTGAAGAGTCACCAGGCATTTGTAAGCAGTGTCAAA